TTGTGTCCTGACCGCTGGTCAGATGCAGGAAGATGTCCATCTCAGACGCAGCGGGCAGAAGGCCTGTAATGTGGCATTTAAACTCTCTTGACTCCAAAGACTCTTTTTGACGTTAGAAGGATTACCGGTAAATGGAGAATATTTTTGCAGAAAAATCTGTGAGCTCCACAAACTGCGTATATCTTCTGTGAATAAGCAGACTGTTGGGTCTGTCTGCGTTTGGATTTCAAAAACTGGTTATTTGATAAGAGAAACATTATGTAGAACTCGTAAATGTAAGGACACATTGATGGCCTAAGACACGAAACGAGCGGTTTGTGTGAGAAAACCACGGCCACGTCCAAGTGGTAACAAGAGGTAAAAACGATATAAATACTGTTAGTTTTCTCACACAAACCGCTCGTTTCGGGTCTTAGGCCATCAATGTGTACTTACATTTACGAGTCATTAAATCGTGTTTAATTTGGACTTCTCTGTGCATGCTCTTTGAGGTGGTGACCATAGACCTCCATTATACGACTGACAGACATGAACGGTTTGACCTAAAAATATCAAAATTGAAAATACAAAGACACCTCCATCTTGGATGCCCTTAAGGTAAGATAAAACACATCAAAAATGAATTTCAAAGTGAACTATCCCTTTAAGTTATTCAACTTGGCTATTAAAGGTATAGTTCACCCAAAAATGAAAGTTTTGTCTTGAAAACTTGCATTATACTCAATGTCGTGTACTCAAAGGGGTCATGATATGGGATTGTTGTTTAATTTTATTATGTTCCTTGAGGTTCACTTATAACGTTAACAAACAAAAATATATATGTATACGTGGAAAAACTATTATTTTCAATCCTCATTTTGCTCATATGTCTGAAATGATCTGTTTTAAGGCGCTGCCCCTTTAAGGCTTGTCAGTAAACGGCCAGTTATGATTGGCTAACGTCATTACATTGGAAACAGTATCAACGCTCATTCTGAAAATATTATACATATAAAAGCATTATGACGTACAGTATTAGGTACGTCAGAAACTAAACTCACATCTGTGTGCTGTATCAGTGTAGACAGCATCACTAATTATAATGGGTTGTATTTGCTTTTGACGCGACGCTCACATCCAGTGTAGGCAAAAGTCAAATGTCAAGCGACTGAACGCCAGTGGGCGGGGCTTCTGGTGCAATGATATTTAACTCTCAGTTGATGTCTTGCTCTGGAGGCGGGCATATGCAAATTTATTAGCCCATGTGGCATCACAAATCCCACAAAGCCATTTTTGGAGCTTAATTAAATGAATACTTTGTTAATAATGAGGAGGATGTTTTAGGAGAAACTTGCGATTACAAAGATCTCTTATTTGTAAAAAAAAAATGTCATAATGTCATAACCACCAGGAACAAAACCAATTCTCTCTTTATTAATATTTTTAAGAAGCAAACAGTAATTTCTTCAAAAAGTCACCTTCTCTGTTCCATGGAAGTAAGTCAAATGGATAAAGAGCAAGATTAGAGAGGACAAATTACTTTTCATTTTTTGGGTGAACTATACATTTGACAGAAGTATCCTCTTTTTATAGAAGTGCCAAATATAAGATTTTATTAATTTGAAAACCTTTCAGAAGGTACATCTTGTGGGAGTATATGGGAACTAATGAAAGAGCAATATGTGGACACTATTGGAAACTGGCTCCTTGCAGAGCATCCTTGAGTGAAGGCAGATCCCTAACATTCATGGATCCAAACAAAGAAAATAACCACTTATCACATCTTCTCTGTCTTAATTAGACACAACTGATATAACAGCCTTCGCTCATTCTGCACCCCCATGCTTTCAACAGGAACCCCACGGAGCCCCCAGTCGCAATCCATCAGAGCCAAAATAACTGTGCAGGATCTTAATATATTCATGACTGCTGCTCTGACAGCATTCCCTAGCACTGACATCAAAGAAGCACTGTTAGGCAGGCTGGCGTTAGGGGAGATGCTCGGGAAGGTACTGAGCCAATTGGGGAAGCCCCTCCCCTTTGCCATTTCCCTTTAACCAGCCCAAGGATGGAGCAGAGCAGATACGGATATCTCACAGAACAGATACGAGTACCCCTGTGAACTGTCTAATCTCCTCCACCTCAGAGAGAATGGCCATGGAGATGCACTGAATGGAAATGTACCTCCAGCTTGGCTCTAATGATGCTTGTTGTGCAACTGAAGCTTATTAGGTTATAGAGTGGCTAGGCCTATGGCAACATTCAACATCTAAATAAAAAAATCCTGTCCATTATCTTGAACTCATTACTCTTAATCGCTTACATAAAACAGAAATGGGGCTACTGCACATCCCAAAAACGATCTCTTGGTTTACCTTTACCAAGTTAATGGATAATTAAAGGTGCAGTAGTGCGCTTGTTAAAAGTGTATCGAACCGAGCAGCACAACACAATTGTAGCCAATCAGCAGTAGGGGGTGTGTCCACTCAGGATGGGGGAAAGTGAGCCAATCAGCAGTAGGGGGTGTGTCCACTCATGATGGGGGAGGAGAGAGTGAGTCAAACAGCAGTAGGGGGCGTGTCTACTCATGATGGGGGAGGAGAGAGAGTGAGACAATCAGCAGTAGGGGGCGTGTCCAATCATGATGGGGGAGAGTGAGCCAATCAGCAGTAGGGGGTGTGTCCACTCATGATGGGGGAGGAGAGAGTGAGTCAAACAGCAGTAGGGGGTGTGTCCACTCATGATGGGGAAGGAGAGTGAGCCAATCAGCAGTAGGGGGCGTGTCCACTTATGATGGGGGAGGAGAGAGAGTGAGCCAATCAGCAATAGGGGGTGTGTCCACTCATGATGCGGGGAGGAGAGAGTGAGTCAAACAACAGTAGGGGGTGTGTCCACTCATGATGGGGGAGGAGAGTGAGCCAAACAGCAGTAGGGGGTGTGTCCACTCATGATGTGGGGAGGAGAGAGAGTGAGTCAATCAGCAATAGGTGGTGTGTCCACTCATGATGGGGGAGGAGAGAAAGTGAGCCAATCAGCAGTAGGGGCGTGTCCACTCATGATGGGGCAGGAGAGAGTGAGTTAGCAAAAGGGAAATTTGAAGAAATACTGTAGAAAGAGTGGCGACTGAGAGACATTACAAAAGATAAAAGGTCAGAGGATTATCACTGGAAAAAGAAGGGTTATGATCAGGTAAGAGCTTTAGGACCCGAGTTAATATTAGAAAAGCTTTCCAGCGCTGGAGCGACTCAAGCGGGAAGGCCTGAAAACATACGTGGTACTACTACTGCTATGTGAGCAATACTGGTTTTGCTATTTTCACAGAAACAAAATATGCTGTTGTTGTAATGTTATCTGTAGTAACAGGACCGTTTTCAGTGTCGTTGTTTGTCTGGGGCTGCTGGCAACTAACAACCAACACTTGCTAGTATATACTCGTTTAATTTTTGTTATTGCTTGTCGTTCGTTCATTGTCTTCGCTTTATTTTCGCTTGATATTTCAGGAGCGGAGCAATAAAGGGACGGGCATGTTTAATTCGCTTGATTTTTAATATGTTTCTCAGAAATCGCTAACTGAAATAAAAAATTGACAAAAAATTATACTCAAATCTACACTGACCGAATTGAGGATATTGCACAAAAAAAAAAAAAAAAAATCTATTAAGTTGATTGAACTATTGAATGTAAAATGTAAATTTAATAAAATCAATGTTTACACACATATTAAACAACAAGAACTTGCGATGTAAAGTTTGGTGGCAACGGGCTGCATGCTAAGTTTACTTGAATAATTTGTGTTTTTGGTCAAAGCACGTGAACTTATGATGACTTAAATGTATGTTTTTTTGATTATATTTTGCTGTAAACGTTGTTTCGACGTTAGTGTGATTAGTTTCTTCCATTTCACTGAGAATTTACTTGTTTTGGTGTTTTAAAATAACTCTACAACCTTCTCAATTTGCTCAACAAAATGACACACAAGAAGTGACACGCAAGTTTTGGGTCACTATTAAAAGCAAGATCCACAAATAAAAACATATTTGTTTAGTTTACAGAACTTGGGGAAGGAAAGGATGTACGTATGTGAGGTCTGAAAATAAAGGGAATACTGCAGTGAATCATCATTATCTGAGAGGAAAAGCACATTTTTTTACATAAAAGACCTATTTTCTCTTTGCGGGGGAGTAGCAAACAGTCACTGCAGTCAAAAACATATATACACTCACAAACCGCATGAGAGCAACCTGTTGGCATAATATCAAAGAGAATCCTTCGCCAAAGTCTCCGGAGGAATCATTTAAGTAACTTCGGGTTACAGAAATTGCAGAAAAGCACAGAAGGAATGGTTCACTCCTTCATAAACACCTTTACAGTTCATTATATCAAGCATCATATCATCTCAGGCTGGTGCAATAACAGCAAGGGAGGTATTTAAATACAATAGTCCTCAAATGTAACACTATACTGGTGTCTAAAGCAAGAAGCAACACATAAATCTGTGAATGCGAGTATTACATCTTTGATTGCATTTTATATAATTACTATTTAGTAATACCAGAATCGCTGTCAGATATCTAAAACATAAACTAATCCCATTCTAATATAGGGAGAAAATCCCATTCCTATTCACTGCTCCAAAAATACAGATGGAAACACTCTTCATGATGGAGCATAATGGTTTTAATACAATTAATATCACAAAGACAGACGGTCAATTATAAAATCAGAGCATTAAGTTTCCCAGCTTGGGAGCTAAATAGACGGCAAACATTCAATTAGCCAAAGCCTTGTGTTTTGGAGCGGCTTCCCAAAGAGGAACAGCATTCCGATGCAGAACCCTGGACAGCTCCTCTCAGACAGACCCAAGACCAGCACAAACACACTCACACACGGTTAGTTACATCATATGAGACTTAATCTAACATCTAATTGGTAAAGTGCCTTAATAATACAGAGGGCGCAATTGCATAAGAGGAAATAAATGATCAATTATGTGACAACAGCGTAATGCATGCACGACTCACCCTTCTCAAAACTGATATTTTTTAAAACTTCCAGCTCCGCCATTATAGTTGATAACAGGTAAACACTGCATTAAGACCGAATCTGGATCGCGCGCTTCGGAATGCAGGTGTCACTGCACTCTTTCATTAAACATATCTGTGATATCACACCCCTTCATCGGGAATTTTCCAATGCAGTTACGTTTTAATGATCAGTTCCTGGCTGTGCATTTTAAAGAAATCATATAAAGAAATCCATCTGATGCATGTAATCAAAGCGCGCGGAAAGGAGCTCTCCAATCTCAGCGAGGCGCGCGCGCGCTCCTCTTCTCTCACTCGCGCTCGTGCCGCCTCATGATCTCTGCACGCGCTTCTTTTCTGCACACATTATTCTCGTGCTGGAGGGAGGAGGGAATATGAGGGGATGTGGGTGTTATGAAGTCGATTAAGGGGTCAGACTAACTAAACGCACATTACTTGGTGGTGGAGTAGTTCACCTGAGGCGCGCGTCTCATTTAGTCTGGGATAGTCGACACAAAATCCCGTAGTTCCCTCAAGTCGTTCCGAACCCGTATGACGTTCTTTCTGTCACGGAGATTGTCCACTCAGGCATCATTCACTTCCATTACCTCTTTTTCCAAATAGACTGTCATTCTGCTCCACTTCTCCTTTTCTATCCCACAAAAGAAAGAAAGTCTTCCCAGCTTGGAACAACATGAGAGTGAATATATGACTGACTTTTCACTTGGCGTGCATTTAATGTTCTTCAGCTTAAATATGAGGCAAACTGGGTCACTTTTTGAACACGACTTGAAAACACCCAACATTTTTTTAGAGTGTTATAAAAAGGTCCCGATTTATTTGACATCACCCTATTTTGCAGGTATTTGCTTATACAATCTGATTTAGTTTTAACTCACGTTTCTGTGATAATAAATGAACTTTCTCATCACATCATTACAGATGAATGCGCGTTGACGCACGCTTCAGAGCTGTTAAGCGGAAGGTTTCTAAAAGATTAATAAGTCATAATGTATTTCTCAATCTATGCTGCTGACAGTGAGAGGAAATATGATGTGAGAGGCATATGAATTACACATCAGCACATAATGGCACTTCATTACCACAGCTGTTAAAAAAGAGATAAACAATTCTTTCCAATGCTTGACTGAAAAGCACAGTTTATCGTGTCATTTTTTACTCATGCTGTTCCAAACGGTATGAACTTCTTCCCAATGCGAAACAAAAACAGATGTTTGGTAGAATGTTCAAAAGCCCCTATTATGCTATTGTAAACGTTCCTAATTGACTAATGGCTAAGCCACGCCCTCAAATGCAATGAGCCAATCACAGTGCGCAGCTAACCCAATACACTCGTACATTCTCTGCTTCCACGTCCATTGAAATGCATTGCAGTTAGTCAGTTTTCATTCGTTTCTTCTTGTCATTTTAAAATGGTCAAACGGTGTGCATGGGGTACAACTCTCGATGGTGTGTATTTTTTTTACCCTTTCCCAAGCCCAACCCAATCTCACGGGAATTGGCAACTTCGTAAAATATGTACGATTTAGAAAAATTGTACTAATTTGTACGAGTGAGGTCGTACGGATTGTTACGAATTAGCCACCTCGTAAAATTCGTACGACCTCACTCGTACAAATTAGTAAAATTTTTCTAAATCGTACATATTTTACGAATTAGCCAATTCGTATGAATTTGTACGAATGACCTACCCCTGACCCCGCCCCTAAACATAACCGTTACGTGGGTTTAGACAAATCGTACGAATTCGTACGAGTGAGGTCGTATGAATTAGTACGAATTAACCACTTTTGAATCACTCGTACGAATTCGTACGAATTGGTCGTGAGATAGCGTAGACCGAGCCACATCTCAACCGAGATTCAGCCTTGGGATAAGTGTCTGCTCTGGATTAAGTGATGCGGTGGACCACAACACCAACTAAATGTGGATAAATTAAACAAGGATGCAGCTGTTTTAAGTTAAATCAACAACGTATTTGAAACGTTATCTTTAAAATCTCTAACGTGACATTAGGCTAACGTTAGCCTAACATTAGAAAACGTTAACGTTAGCTTCTAGCTGCGCTGTACATGTCACTTAGCTTCATTAATGTATCTGTAAATAACAAATGTTAACAATGTTGTCTACTCTGCTCTGATTGGTCAGATGGCCCAGTCTGTTGTGATTGGTCAACTCTGCTCTGATTGGTCAGATGACTCAGTCAGTTGTGAATGTGATTGGTCTACTCTGCTCTGATTGGTCAGATGGCCTAGTCTGTTGTGATTGATGTATATCAGAAATTTGTATTTATTTGTATTTATTTATTTCTTCGGTCAGTCATTTAGAAATCATGTCATAAATCATGCAACACAAAAAAGAGAGAGAAAAAAAATAAAATAAAAAGAAATAAAAAAAAAAAAAAAAATGAAAAGAAATGAAATGCTTGTAACCATATCTGAATTTCAGCTCTTCATCAGTGCTTGTACACACAATGATACGAACGGTGTTGGCGTCATTTTTACCGCATAAATTGAAACACGAGTCCTCATCCTTAAGTGCACGTAAAGTGGAAACACAGCACCCAGCGTATAAAGACACGACATGTTGCTTCTCAGCTACAACTAGAGTGTTTGAGGGCGGGGCAAAGTAGACATTGAATCGATTCTTTCTTTTAGGAGACAATACACTCTTAGAAGAAAAGGTTCTATACAGAACCTTAAAAGGTTCTATTAGCGCTACGTATTTGGAACCCCTAAAAGGTTCTATACACTCTTAAAATAAGGGTTCCTCTGGGTTCTATATAGAACCCTGGGGTTCCATACTTGGTCAATAGAACCTTTTACCAAAAAAAATGGTTCTATATTTGGAGTTCCATATATGAAGCGGGGGATGGAACCATTTCTGGTTCTAAATAGAACCGTTTCTTCTAAGAGTGTAACTTTATTTGTAGTGCACTTTTACATTCGCAAACAGCTATGTTACACACACTGCATGAAAGGTAATATTCGAAAAGGCATAATGGGGCAATTAAATATGCTCAGTTGAACATGCTAACTCAGTGTTTCTATTGGCGAGCACGTCGCTGTGAAGCCTCCGTCACACTCATCCATCACACCACATCAGTGACAGATGGAAATAAAGCATGTCTGGACCTCATCGCCGATACCTTCGAGGGTTTCATATTCACAGCATGTAAATATGCTTCTCATCTCCAGACTGTGTGTGTGTGTGTTACTGCCCAAAGAGTGCTAAATCTCAAAGAACAACTGAAAAACAAATAGTCTAAAATCACCAATCAAATTAGATTGTAGTAAATCCCGATATATATAGAGGGATGCAGGTGTTCCCAGAGCTGTAAAGTGGTTTGGAATAAAGCTGATCCGATCAATATCATCTGAAAAATGTTACCCGACTCTACAGTATTCATGTATTGAGTGGCAAGAAAATGGTGTTTGAGGTCTGAGCACTATCAAATTGGGCTGGCCATGCATTACTAGGGGAATCTTAGCACTAATCCATTTATACACTGACACTCGACACAAGCAGCTCTCGCTTTTATTATACACCACCTGATTCACATAATACCTCTAGCATTTTCCAATAATCCACTTTAACTCAATTTTCACTTCATCTTTACTCATTTTTTTCTCTTCCTTCATCAGTATTGTGCTAGCCATCTGAGGCAAAGCAAATGACAATGAAACAGCGAGAGCGAGAGACACGGTCTGAAAGGGAGAAACTGGAAACCAAGGCAATATAAAGAAGGACCTGCGGAATTGGGAAGGACACACAGGTTTCATAAGATTAAATCACTTGCTTTTTTTATTTTCCAGGCAGGGTTGATGCATCTCTGGCTGCAGGAGCAGCGAACCGGATTAAAGAAAGAGGTTGAATTACAGCCAGACAACAAGCTCGCTTCAGAGTCAGACAGACAGACGTCTGCAGTTCACATCGTGCAGACACCAGACAACAATCCTGGAATAAACACAGCGCATGCCACCACACAACTGCATCTCGCTCTGGTCCATCTATGGCACGGGATTATGAGTATGGTAGGTCTACTTAAAGGGGGGATGAACTGAGAAATCTAATTTTGCTTTTGACATATAAGAGGTCATCATATTATAAGAATATCCTGTAAGTTTCACAACTGAAAACGTCCTTGTTAGTCCAATAAAAGCTTTTATTGACACCAGCCTCAGCAAACGACTCGTTTTTCCAAAGTGGGGAACTATGACGACAAAGAGGATAAAACACCACCCCCGCAGAATAAGGTAAACGCCTACTTCAACACAGCCGGTTTAGCCCCGCCCACCGATCAACATAGATGCCTACCTCGTGATGACAAACTGGGTCGAGAGTGAAACTCATTATAATATGCAAAACTGTTATCCAATCACAGCAGTGGGCGTTTACTTCCAAGTCTTCAATGCGAGACGCCCATAAAAACAGAGCGTTTTTCAGCTAGACTCAAAACTAGGGTAGAAAATAGCCTATTACTTATTCATTTGATGTGTTTGAATGCAAAATCCAAGCGAACGTCATAAGTTGACCTCAGACAACAATGTAATAAAATTTAAAAAGCCAGTTCATGACCCCTTTAAGCATGAACAGATTATAATGATCTCAAAAGGAGTCACTGTAGAGCTAATGCTGGAGATTGTACATATACTGTACAGAGAGATTATAGCTAAAGCAAACCCAATCTATATATAAACTCAATCATCTAACGTACCGTCCATCAGCAAATTAGTTTAAGCATAACAGTTGTTACAATTGTTTCTTATTAATTCATTGCATTATTATGGAAGCTTGTTTCCGCCATAGAATGAAAAATATAAAAGGTATTTGCGACTTTTTATCTCACAATTCTGACTTTTTTTCTCACAATTGCGAGTTTACATCTCGCGATTCTGACATTATTTCTCAGAATTGCGAGATGGAAAGTCAGAATTGCGAGATATTAAGTCATAATTGTGAGATATAAAGTCGCAATTTTGAGATTTAAACTATTCTGAGGAGGAAAAGTTAGTCTTTTTTCCCCCTTAAGATTGGCCTGATAAGTCTCAATTGCGAATTTATATCTCACAATTCTGAGAAAAGATGTCAGAATTTCGACATATAAACTCGCAATTATGTGTTATAAAGTCAAAATTGCGAGATGTAAACTCGTAATTGTGAGAAAAAAAGTCAGAATTGTGAGATAAAAAGTCGCACTTCTGTCTTTTCTGACTTTATATCACCCAATTCTGACTTTATATTTCGCAATTCTGACTATATCACGCAATTCTGACTTTATATCTCGCA